TGGGGTTTCACTTTGGGCTGGGAGAAGTTTAGACCAAGGAGCCTGAAGGAGGCAGGATATTCTTCCATAAACGATCTTGACTTCGATGGCTTCTTGGCAAAGGACTTCATTAGCAGACATGACAAAGCGACTGTTCGTCTTCTGAGGACCACCTCTGGACCAACCAAATGCTCATCCGGCAGCGCCCATGGTGGGGAGATTTTTCCTTCAGCTACCATAATTATAGCGTTAAAGCACCTTGTGTCACTTCCTCTGTTCTAGTGGTGGGGACCAGCACCTGCTGGAAAGTGGTTCCAGCGTCCCTCATATAATGAGAGCAATGTCTTGTTGGAGAAAATATTTGTTAATTAATTAATTTTCGATTTACAAGACATCAAGCAAATAAAGCAGCTATTAAAGCAATGCTTGTGAATCGAGTCGGTGATTTTCGATTAGCTCTAGCCTCTTGGTATTATGGGTTGTTTTGGTATTTTTCAAACAGTAGACTTTTCATTGTTTTCAAGTTTCGAACCATTTTCGCTTGTGCTAGTGCCTTTGTGTGGGAACCTTCTTTCATTTTATCTTAATATTCCACCTTTCATTTCCGACTCTTTTCCGAGTACTGAGTGTTTCCTGTTGGGTCCCGGATCCCGCTCCTGTTCTCTTCGAGAGCCCCAGCACAGAACTGCTCTCGTCTGCTTAAACCACCCGTACACCCGGGCCCAGCCTTGGCAAACGTTTCTTGTCGCCACAAGCAAAACTTGGGGGCGTCGCGCGGCCGGGCCCGCCGTTGAAAAAAACAATCGGAGGCCTCCAAAGTGGTGCGGGTTTCATGCTGACACCCACAGGCCGATTTCATATGTGGTGTAGTGGCGGTTTAAACCACCAGCAAGTACACCCGGGCCTGGAGGCGCCTTACTGTGCACCGAGCTTTTCCGAGCCGCCAGCCAGCGGCGCAGCACACTTTTTCTTTTTTGGCGCCGCTGGCTGGGGCCTCCGAAACTTTTGTAGAAATTGTAGGCGACGCCTAGCTTTTCCGAGCCGCCGAGCAGCCATTCAAGTTGTGGTCCGGTAGGCTGAGCCTCCGATACTTCTGTGCGCGACGAGTGGCATTTTTTCAGCAAGGCCGGCCTGGCTGGGGCAGTGTACTTGCGGTTTAACCATCCAGTCCAACCCTTGCTCCTCGCGACCCAAAGTCTGCTTTCCAAATGTGCAAGGTTGGGCCGGATCGTTAAACCGCAAGTACACGGCTCCCGTCTTGCTGGGGCAAGGGGCAAGGCTGGTACGGTGTAAATGTGGTTTAACGATCCTGTCGAACCCTTGCTGCTCGCGGTTGCTTTCCAAATGTGCAGTGAGCAGTTCCCACCATTGGCAAGGGCACCTCTTGCCCCACCCCAGATTCTCATGTCGGGCCAATCTTAGCCACAACCTTGGCCAATTTCACAATGCTCTCGCTACATAGCAGTCCCACCATAGATGGTTTTCTATCTCGGAGACTTCCTCACATGTTTCGCAGGTTGTGTCAATTGTCATCCCTTTCTGAGGAAAAAAAAAAAGAGGAGGAGTGGGGCAAGTGGATGCCCCCTATGCGAGGGATGTTGCTAAAACAAATGTCTCCAAGGGTTGGCCATAAACCATAAGGTCTATAACCATAGCACCCACAATCGAATAGATCACGACTACGGTCTACCCGCCTGCTGAGTTTAGGTTAAAACGTGTATGGATCAGAATTCTACAATCTCTATTAAATTTACAACAATATATATTTTCTCTATTTATATTGCTTTAAATTTTCAACAGGTACTGTTCAAGAAGTGGAGGAGATCAATGACACGTCCTGTTATTCTTCCTTGTTTTTATTCCTTTTGTTAACGACCCACCTATCAAGCTTCCCTTGGATACTTCCACAAGTCTTGGAGAGGGGCTAGGTCGTCAAGCAGAGTGGGGTATTCCTCCAGTGGTAGTCAACAGAGCCCAATGCATTTTCCAAGGGTCATTTGTTTCACTGCTACTTTCAGCTCCCATTTCCTCCGTTCCATCGTGCGAGGAGTTCCAAGTGGTAGGATGCATGTTTTGCAAGTAATATGGAGTTATCGGTTCAAGCCCGCTCGTCCCCTATCCCGCCCCCCCCCCTCCACCGGGCCCGATCGTCCCCCCCCCCCGAGCCCACGTAGCTCAGGTGGTGGTGGAGCATTCGATCATCCCCAATTTTTTTCTCCCCCCCCCATGACCTCATGTAGCTCATCAGATGGTAGAGCATTCCCTTGGTAAGGGAAAGGCCTCGGGTCCGAGTCCGGTTGACAATCTTTGTTGAAGTTGCGTCTAGGTCGAAGCGTCCTTCTGGTGGGGGCAAAGCCAAGCCTGTGTAATTTCCCAGAAGATCCGAGTTCTGTCCTTGGAACTGCCAGTAGTTCCAAGTTCCGAGTTCCCAGTTCCAACCTTAAACTGCCAGTAGATCCGAGTTCCGAGCTCCAAGTTCCAACTTGGAACTGCCAGTAGTTCCAAGTTCAAAGTTCCGAGTTCCAACCTTGAACTCCCAATAGATCCAAGTTCCGAGCTCCGAGTTCCAACCGTGGAACTGCCAGTAGTTCCGAGTTCCGAATTCCAACACATCCTTGCTGGAAAAGTTCGATTGCCTACTCCAAAAATTTCGCACCTCGCATGCCCTCGGGCCTATTGGGCCACAAAAATAACCTTCCCGGGCCTAGGAGGACAGGTTCACCCGCAAGTGGTGGTGGTGTGAAAGAAAGTTGGGGCACTTTATGCCGTAAGAGCCTGGAAATGTGCCTGCATATGGCTGAATCAGTGTTTGGAGCCTGGTGTTGGGCGCTGAGTTGAGTACCGTCCACACTGCCACTGTGCTCTGGTGGGCTGTGAATGCTATGACGGGTATGGCGGAAGCAGTTTTGAACACCGTGTCACCGTGTTGCAGTGGTTAAACCGCAAGTACACGGCTCCAGCCTTGCAGAAAGTTTTTGTCGCCACAAGCAAAACTCGGAGGGGCCGCACGGCGTGGGCGCCGTTGAAATGAAAAATCGGTGGCCTCTGAAGTGGTGCAGGTTTCGTGCTGACACCCGCGGGCCGATGTGTGGTGTCTGTTATGTCGGAGATCACTGGTTCGAGTCCGTGTGGCCACCGATTTGCGTCCTGGCAAACATATACTATCATCACAATTGCTGGCGGCACCAGCCAAAAAAGAACATGAGTGTGCTGTTCGACGGTTTCGGCAAAGATTGGCGAGCAGTGGAGCGCCTCCACGCCCCGGTGTACTTCGCAGGATACACTAACCACCTGCCGCCCGTATTAAACCCTTGGCGTGGTTTGATACGGCCAGCAGGTGGTTAGTGTTCCTGAAACATTTCCATGGCATAGCCACACATCCCTATTGAATTTGATTTGAGGGACGCTGATATAGCAAAGGCCCAAAGAAGGGTCAAACGGGGGGCCAAGAACTCCCTCATTTACTTTTGTATAACAACAACAATTTTCTAGAAGGTCTATATCGTTCAATCGATCGTCTGTGATAATATCATATTAGTATCATAATACGCCTTTTGTTGTAACTATGCCTTCAATTGTGTTTCTTATCGTTAGATGATTAAATCTGAACCATATCAAAGTCGAATTCCACTTGCTGTAGGTGGACAAACCCACAACTCACACTAGGACTTAACGCATGAATCTGACCTTAATTACTGCCCGATACAGTCAGACTACTATTGCTCCGGCGCCAGTCAGGTACTCAGACTTCCAAATACGAAGAGAATTCAAGAACAAAACTTCAGTCAGGTACTCAACTTCCAAATACGAAAAGAATTCAAGAACAACTTGAAGAACAAAACTTGAAGATAACAATCAAGAAAAAAACTTCAAAAACAAAGCTTGAAGAAATATGAATCAGACCCAAGTTCGGATCCAGATACAATCACGAAAAAAACTTCAAGAACAAAACTTGAAAAAGAGCAAAGAACATATAAGAACCTAGCACGCAAAGGGAAAAAGGAAAAGAGACCAACGGGCGTAGCTCAGTTGGTACACCCACGAACTGTTGAAATATGAATCAGACCCGAGTTTGAATCCAGATACATTGTCTAGCTAATGAGAACTTGTCTATGAATGTAATCACGCATTTTGTTAACGCGATTGAATCCAGATACAATCAGATGACCAGAATAACATCACTCTGAGCCATGCATGCAAGCGGACACCGTACCGAAAATTCTGCATGTTTGGTGCACGAGCGGACCCGCACGGTGCGGTGCACGGGGGAAATACTCACTCAAAAAAAAGAAGGGGTCGCATGGCTGCACCAATGGTCACCTGCATCCCCTTTAAAAATTTGTTGTGGGATGTGGGGCCCGGGGGGGGGGGGGRGGGRGCTGGSGGGRGGGTAATGCCGCTACCTAAAGGTCAAGACTGATGTCCCAGACACATTTTCGACGCTATTTCTCATGCCCAATTGGACGGAAAGAAAAATATGTACGACTGTACCTGAAAAAGATCATTTGCTTAGGTGTTGCACTCTTCTGTATCCACAAAAACAGCAAAAAAAAAAAAAAAAAAAAAAAAAGAAGGAAACCGCCGCTGCTCCGGCGCACGAGCAGGTGCCGTGCCGCACGCCGTGCGGCTCACCGGACAGTACGGGGCCGGTCAGTTCAATGATGATATCTCAAGGCCGTCGCCCTTTTTATAAAAAAAAAGAACTCCAAGGAAGCAAATTACACATTTGAGAAGCGAATGAATCTTTTTTCTTTTTCTTCTTTTTTTAAGGAAGAATTTAAAAAAAAAAGAAAAAAAAAAAAAAGAAAAAGAAAACTGGCAACGAGGGAATGAGGCGCCGTAAGGAGCAGGGAACACATGACAATCGAATTCCAAAAAGACAAGGGAGCGCAAAAAAAAAAGAAAAAAAAGAAAAACATGAAAATATTAAATTAACCTAAAAGGCTAAAAGGCAAAAACGGGAGGGAGCCACTTCAGGATTGTCAGGGGAAAAGAAAAAAAAAAGTGTTAACTTTGAAGTTCGAAGTTTTACACTCTTTTAACTTTTAAAACTACAAAAACGTAAAAAAAAGAAAAAAAAAAAAGAAAAGCAACAAAGAATAGAAACTGAGTCTCACAGAGCGAGTTGAATGTCCTGCAGGAACGATTACAGCTCGGTAAGAAAAAGATAACGACGACAACGGCCATGATTGTTCAACAGGATCTGGCCGTAATGGCAGTCAGATACATGATACATCGCAGAAGAGTCCACAGTCTGAGTATATCCCCCACGTGAGAAAGCTAGTCGCAAGTGGGAATATACGCACACTACTGTCAGAAAACAGAAAGTGGCAAAACACTAAAATTAAAAATTTTAAATTTGTTCAAAAACCAGAAAGTTGCAAAACACTAAAATTACAATTGCGACCGGATGTAACATGACGCCAACACGGCGACGACTCAAGAAGCCTGCAATCGGCGCTCGCAGTAGCCACATCGCCACATAACCACAGCTAGATAGCCATATATAGCCATATGGTCAAACCGCCATACAGCCAAATAGCCATACAGCTCAATCGCACTCGCAATAGCCATAATTGTCTTAGTCAACTGACTCAACTCCCCATAGCCAAATAGCCAGGTAGCCAAATCACCATAGCCAAGTTGTCATATAGCTAAATCACCATGTATAACAGCCGCTCATCGTAGCTGAAGAGCCATTTTGCCAAAATAGACAAATCTGGCCTTCAACGACCTATGGCCGTGGCCACATCGCCATAGCCACACAGCCATAAAGCCATAAATCCAAACAGCCATAAAGACATGAATCCAAATAGCCATGCAGCCAAACTGCCGTTTGCCTGAGCGATTTCAAGATGACACAGAGCAAAACCACCACCACTCCACGCACAAGTCGTAGTAGTACATATATGTGCATATGTGTATATAGATCTATAAATGTTAATCTATAAATGTTAATCTATAAATGTTAATCTATAAATGTTCATCTATAAATTTTCATCTATAAACGTTCATCCTCTTTCCAAACAAACAAAATACGATTATGCATCTGTACTCAATCATTAGTACTATGCAGAGTTCAATACGAAACCGAGTGAGAGGAGCTGTCCTCTTGCTGGCCGCGAATCGGTATACCAACGTCAGGATCTCTGGGCATTCTTTCGCCTTTTGCCCAAGTCCGTCACTAGGGTATGCGAAGTCCCGCCATGCAATCTCTTTATGTGGAAAACACCATCCCCTCGTCCATTTCTTCAGTCTTCCCAATAAACAGGCCTGTGGCACAACACCGATACCAAGCCAGACAAAAGGAACCGCCATGCAATGAGCACGCCAGTTTTCCAGATCGCAAAATCTCATAGAACTTGATAGAAGAGCAACCATGATTGAGCCAAGTTGAAAGCAGAATTACAAAAGTTGAGTGCACACCACTTCGGAGCAGAAAAAAAAAAAAAAAAAAAAAAAAAAACATTCCTGTCGATGTGCAGAAAGCGCGACTTCTCGCATCCAGTCATCAATGCAGCAGCAATGTAGTAGCCCTAGTGTTGTAGTAGTTGAAGCGATCTCAATAGATGCTATTTGAGCCTATTTCATACCTCGTTTTAATGCGCACGGATTTTGCGGATATGCTTCCATGCGCATGTAACACCACTCAATGCATCGCAGCATGCTGCACTACAAGCGCAGAGGTCAACTAACATCTCTCTCTCTCTCTCTCTCTCTCTCTCTCTCTCTCTCTCTCTCTCTCTCTCTTACCCGCTTCACCCCCCCTCTGTCCTGTTTTTTATTCTTACTTCCTGTGTCTAAGTGAGCACCTTTAAGAAGTGCCAAATAGTCGGTGCTTGTTTGTGTGGAGTGCGTGCAATACTACTATGTAGGAGGGCTGCTCTGTTCATAATGTCTGCGACTGCTTGTTCCATGGGTGATAACAGACATTCGTTAGAGTGACTTATGGCTCCGCGGGTGTAACTGACAGTGTGCAGGTTTCAACTTGGGGTGCCTGTAGCTGATGGACTGTCGGTGCATGTTGGATGTGTGAACTGCCTTGTCTGCACTCGTCCGTGCTGCCTTAATGCCCATCCGCTTGCCACATCTTTCCTTGCAGCTTGTCAGTTGGCGGTGTAAGTTTGGCTACCATCTTCTCAGTGGTGCCTTTGTGCCTCACTGCATCGTTGTTTTGCTACCCATCCACATGCCTTGTGCATTGTGTAGTTTGGCTTCTCTGTCAGTGCTGCCTCGCTGCGTTGTTGCCTTGCTGCCCATCCATCCACTTACCTTGTCTTTCCTTGCGTGCTGTGTAGTTGGGCTGCCTCGGTAGCGTGCCTGGTGCCTCACTGTGCCATTGCCTTGCTGTCTTGTTCCGCTTGTGGTGCCAGCTGTTGGCCGTCCACTTTCAATAGGGTTTGAAAGAGTCCAGGACTCAAAAGGCATCAATATGGGGATTCTGTGGATTGTCGAGGCGAGGGTTCACCCTCCTGACGACCGACTCAGGGCAAGTCTAACGAAGCAGTCCGTCATTAACCTTTTCTTCTTCTTTTTTTTTACAGTCTTGCACATGTACTTTCCTTGTTTTCCGTCCTTCAGCTGGGCCCGGTTGTGTGTCCTACTCTGAAAATTGTCTTCTGAGAGAAGTCCTGACTTGACTCACTCAGACGGGTATTTTCCTCCTGAGGGGTGTTGTAATGGTATGGCGCATGGTCGTTTACCATGCTGGGGATAAACGTAAATACATTTCACACACACACACACACACACACACACACACACTCACACACACTCACACACACTCCATTGTTTTTTTTGTTTTTTTTTTTCCGGGGTGGATCCACCCAAGGGTGGGTAGCCTAAACCTAAACCATATACAAGTTCATATAGTCCATAGAATAGACTATCCCCGTCCTTACCAAGGAGATGCTAACTTTCTCTCGGCTCAACAAACTCCACACACTCACATTGTTTGTTTGTCTGTCCATCTGTTTTCTCCCTCCGTGTCCTCTTATATGTGCCTAAACGCTGCAAGGTTTGGCCATTTTCCTGTGTCTCTCCGAGTACCTAAGTCGACCACCTTCAGGGTGTGCCAAATAGTCAGTGCCTGTTTGTAGGGAGAGCCTGTTGCAGTGTGAGGGAGACTGCTGTGTTCCGGATGTCTGTGTCTGTGTTTCTTGGGCGGTGACAGGCATTCCTTGAGAGAGACTCCCTCACTCAGATTGTGGTTTGAACCTACAGTCTGTTGACGTGTGGCGTGAGTAGGTGATTTTTTCCTGTCATCCTTGCTGTAAGAGCTCACTGCCTTGCCAGTGTGTTGCCTTGCTGCTTGGCTTCCCATCGCCTCGCCCTGTCTTTCTGTGCTGCTTGCCTGTTAGCCTTGTCGTTCAGCGCCCTGTCTGTGCTAGCTTCTGCCTTCTGCCTCGCTGACTCGCTCCCCTGCTGCCTTTTGTTGATAGCGCCGCCCTACTGCTTGCCTTGCTGTTTGCCTGCCTTGTTTGACTCACTGCATTGTGCCTTGCTAACGTGTTGCCCTCTCCTCGTGTCTTCTTTTTCTTCTGAGAAGAAGGGAATAGAAAATATCATTGTACAAGCCTGTATCACATGAGACCTGCTGTAAGGGAAACGGGCCTGGCGTCCCTTACAACTGTATCACAGCCACTTCAGAGAGTGTGGCATCACCGGCCAAGCCTCCTCATGCATCTCCTGTGTACTTTGTTGAAGCTGATTGCTGTCTCGCTGCTTGTTGCCTTTTCGCGATGCTTGCTGCCTTTTCGCGATGCTCGTTGCCTTTTCGCGATGCTTGCTGCCTTTTCGCGATGCTTGTTGCCTCGAGATTGGAATTTGGGTGTCTGTTTTCGAAGAGAAGAGTGAGATTGTGTTATTTCCACTGTTTCGAGAAACATATGATAGCAGTCGTCTCTGCAACAAACAGAAGGCACTTTCTTCCTTCCTCCCTTTTTTTTCTTACCAACCCCCTTGTATGCAACAATAATTACAATACTACTGAAACGTGGATAAACTCACGAAACGAAATTGAAATTTGAAACACTGCGACATCTGCGGCGGGGGAACCTTAATGACAGAGCATAATATTTCAGTTAAAAAATAATAATAATAATAAAAAATAAAAAAAATCGTTGCATTGTTTTGAAATTTGAGTATTTTGATCAATCTGATCAGTGGCAGGCAAGGCAAGTTGCTTCCAGGTCTGCGAAGATTACATCGCAGTGTAGACAGAAAAAGGACAAACTCACCGAATTTGAAAGCACGATGTCAGGGCAAAATACTCCCCTGCCATGCTTTATCGTCATCCCACCTTCTTCAGCTCCTTCATGTTCGTAGTCTCCACCCTGGTAACGGACACAAAGACGGATGATTTTAAATATAAATTGAACAAACCAAAATAAGCAAGGAAAAATAATCCAGAGGTGTTCAATTAGACAGCAATCTATACACGGACAATCGATCAGTCAGCCAACCCATCAACCAATCGACCAACCAAACAATTAATCCGCTTACCAGTTAGCCGATCAACCAATCAATCAATCAACCAATCAATCAATCAACCAATCAACCAATCAATCAATCAACCAATCAAGCAATCAAGCAATCAATCAATCAATCAAGCAAGCAAGCAAGCAAGCAATCAAGCAAGCAATCGAGCAATCGAGCAATCAAGAAACCAGCCTGATTACTGTTCCACAGGCAGCCTCTGGCTGCCCAGAATGCCTGGTCGGTAAAAGGATTCAAGCAAGTTCCCAGCCAAGGCCCGAGCAGGGCAAAATAAAAAATTGTGGTCAAACGGTATGTTTGGTCTGAGGGTCAATCTCAAAATTTGTCACGAAATCAAAGATGAGCAAAAGAAAAAACAAACAAACAAAGTTTAACAAACTAGAGAACGCCCCTTGAAAAAAAAACCATTCATATCCCCCTTACTCCCCCCCCCCCCCCCCCCCCCCCCCCCCCCCCCCCCCCCCCCCCGCTTTTCCCTCCGCCCCCCGCCCGACCAAAGTCCTAAACAGATAAAGCTGATTAACGAAAAAGAGCCCGGACTTGGGCTGCTTTCAGTGGGCACAGTAACACCCCACTGCCTGCAAAAAAAGAACTTGTGGACTTTTAACATGCCTGGGTTGACGAAGGGCAGGAGACCCCCGGGCTAGTCCCCCAGCTGTGCGGCTGGGCATTCCAGGTACCTAGGCAAGCAGTCAATATATGGAACCAAGAAAAGGTATCCAATGAAAACATAACCACGTAGTACATACCTACCGTCTTCACCCGAATAGAAGTTTGCCCGGGCGGCCCACGGCCGTGCAAGGGCCAAAGAAGGACCCAGCAAAGAAAACGAAAAAAAAACTGAAAAAAAAAATAAAAAATATATATGTTATGAAGAAAAATAAACTGAACAACTTTTGCCTCAGGGTCACATCGAAATTCGTTACCAAAATTGAAATAAAAATAAACTTAGAAAAACATTTGTTGGTTTTTTTAACTTTTTTTTTTTTTTTTTCCCCGGTCGGGCAAGTAGTCCCGGGCCACTCTGGTAGCCTAGGTACATACACAATACCCACCCACCCACCCACGCACCCACACATGCAGAAAATTTCAATATTTTCGTACGTGAGGCATGCCTAGACGGGCTAGTCCCCCAGCTGCACGGCCGGGCATTCCAGGTAACCTAGGCAAGCAGTCGATATATGGAACTAAAAATACTTTCAAAAATATATCCAATGAAAACATACATATTGTCACACTGTGAATCAGAGCGCGAAGGCGAAAAAAAGCAAACGAAGGAAGGAAGGAAAGCCCCACCTGTTCATCACCTCTTACATACAAGGCCGGCCACGTGGATGACAGGTTGAGCGCCGGCTGCCACCATCCCCGTGTGTCACAAGGACCCACTTGCACGCAGCCAAAAGGCAAAAAAGAGGTAAAGAAAAGGAGGAGGAAACATATTGTCATTTGCTTTCTTCCTTTATCTGTCATTTGCTTTCTTCCTTTGTCTTTTCTTTAGACAAAGGAAGAAAGCAAATGACAGATAAACCAATTGCCACTGTCTCTACAAAGTTTAACATATTTTTTTCTTTTTTTCTTTTTTTTTTGTTATCTTTTTTCTTTTCTCCAGAAATTTGTACTTATACATATATATAATATGTATATATATATACACACACAATACCCAACCAACCAACCAACCAACCAACCATGCAAAACTTCTAGTAAACATTATCCTCTTCGCATATACACAAGGTAGTCCACAGAAAGCGTTGATGTCAACACGTTGGGGTGAGGGCAGAGAGGACAAAAAGGCCCATGAAATAATGCACTCACGTTGTGCCATGGATCGAGATCTTCGTCACCTTCGTCGCCTCAACCTCTCCTTGGTTGTTTTCGATGAAGATGGTCAAACTGCAAAGTCGACATTTGGAGTTGGTAGAGGAGACGAGGTGCCGGCATTACAACCAAAACCAAAACCACAGTGCGGACCAATGAACATATGTATATGTTAATATACAATAATATGTCATTATTATTATATATCTCAATAACAAATAAGAAAAGGAGTATTAACTTTTAAGGACTTAAGCTGACACATGAGGACATAAACTCACTAGCAAAGATGCATGAGTGATTTTCCATTATTATTATTTAATTAATGATGTTGTTTGCCACGTGGCATATACAACATTACATGTCCACATGCCAATGGTAATAGGACTACTACTGAAAAAGGGGGAAAGCACAGAGAGAGAGAGAGACAGAGAGAGACAGAGAGAGACAGAGAGAGACACAGAGAATGAGAATGAGAATGGCTCTAATAGCTGCCAGGTTAGTGCTTTCCTAGCATGAACACAGCACCAGTAGGCCTGACCTAAAAGTACACTAATGCGGAAAAAAAAAAAGAAAAAAAAAAGGAGAGAGTACACTTACGCCTCGAGAAAAAGTGGTACTGGCACGGAAATGTTTTTTTTTTTTTTTTTTTTTTTTTTTAACCTTCCTCACCTTCCTACATCTTCAAGGGAGGGGAAAAAAAAAAAGAAACAGAGTTTGTATAACTTTGTAACCTCATTTCCCTTTGCAGGCAAAGCAGCAACAGGTCATCAAGCACAGATATAACTCCCCCTCTCCCGCTCCTGCCCCCTCCTCGTCCCCTCCCTTCCCCCCCCTCGTCCAGCCCACCCTCCAATCTAGTCACTTGCAGGTGGGGACTCATTTTTCGGCGTCTATTCACCGCTCTGTCTGAATCTGTCAGATGCGATGAGAAACGTGTGGGATATAGATACATAAAATGCCGCTGGATTTCTTGGGGGGAAAAAAAAAACACTGCTCTTTGTGGCGGAAGTCATACCGGACTGTCTGTGGTGGCACTGCCAACAGGGGTCCCGAGAGGGGAATGGGACTTTCTGGGACCGAAGAAGATCAGAGTGGAAACGGGGAGAAAAAATAACAACCCAGCTAGTCCAGACTCCACAGAGATTTCAAGGAGATCCCATTGGGCCTAGTCCCACTGAGTAACAACGGGGGAACTCGATTCAGCTCACCTTTTTTAGAACGATTTGAGACTGTGATAAAAAAAGTTTGATAACTTTGATTCATATTATTATTCATCCAGCCAGCAGAAATAAAGGTGGTCCGCACTTTTTTTCTGTGTAAGAATCTCCACAGGATTTACCAGATGAGATCTGACACACATGAAACTTAAGACGACTGGCTGGGGCCGCTGACACTGAACAAAAAAAAGACGTCTGAGATTGCAAATTTGCAAGAACTTAAAAAAAAAAGAACTGGGAAATATTTTGAAGACTGACTGGGAAAATTAATTCGGAAAGGAGCTCCGTCGTGGAATGAGTGGGGGGAGAAAATATACTGCGGATGGTAGGGTAAATACTAAATGCGAGGCTACGCCCGCTTAGCCCCTACGGGGCCCTATCTGCAACAAGGTCGGCCGCCCTAAGTGAAGGCAGGCACGACAGGCCCTTCGGGCCTCATTCTTCAGGGTACCCCGCATTGGGGAAATTCAGACAGTTGCGTTGTGCCAGTTGGTTGAATAAATCCAGGCCCTGGGCCGCCTGTGTAAATGAATGTGAAGCAGGCCCTGGGCCGCCTGTGTAAATGAATGTGAAGCAGGCCCTGGGCTGGATACGGGTACCGGGCCAAACACAGGCCGAAAGCAGTTGGGCGCAGGCAACCACTTCAGGCCCAAGGCCTGCTCTCTACGTGACTGGGCCTGTGCCTACCGGGGCCTACCGGAAGCTTCCTGGACTGGACGCAGGCAGGCCACTTCGATATAGGGAAGGGCCTGCCTCCTCATTCGGCATTCGGGTGCTGGCTGCATGCTGCGTGAGCGCTGCTGCGCAATCCGCTGGCTGGCTGGCACTCACGCTCTCACGGGCGAGTAGGAGGGAGCACACAGCCATAGCCAAGCTGCGCTGCTGTATGCTAGGTGAAGCGCAGGGTGGTCCTTGGGTGCTAGTGGCATCTGTGCGGTGTGGATCGGGGTTGTGAGTGTTACGAGAGACATACCTGGTGCTGAAGCGTGCGACATTGGTCGCCATATGCTCGTACTTCGGGAACGCTGTTGATGTCATCATTCTGCTTCGTAGTATAGGCTAGATAGGACCTGCCACATGTAGT